TAGGTGTGGTGTGGGTGTGGGTGTGGGTGGTGGGGGTGGGGTGGGTGGTGTGGGTGTGGGCGTCGGTGTGGGTGTGGGTGTGGGTGGGTGTGGGTGTGGGTGTGGATGCGGGTGGGTGTGGTTGTGGAATGCGAATGCTCCCTTTATTAGTATATTCATACCGACACCCACACCCATACCACACAGCCACACCCACACCCACACCCACACCACACACCACACACCCACACCACACACCCACACACCCACACCCACACCCGCACCACACACCCACACCCACACCCCACCAACCCACACCCCACACCCCACACCCTTTTCTACCCACAGTCCACACATCATATCCATAAAAATATTCATCGGAGAAAAAACCTAATCTTTTTTTTCTTTTTACAAAATTTTTAGTTGTCACCGATTATAAAAATAGCTGAAGCAAAACCATTATTAGAACGATCATTTTTTCAATGTTTATTAGAAAATATAAATATAAACTCAATTATGTTAGATACTCAATATCGTGTGCATCCATCATTAATTGATTTTCCATCAAAAGTATTATATGATGGTTCATTAAAAACTGGTATCAAACCTGAACAACGACCAATACCACAAGAAATTAAATTTATTAATAAACAAATTCCATTAATATTGTTGATGTTGATCAAAGTTATGAAACAATTTATGGATCGAATATTTATAATAGACAAAAAGTTGAATTAATTTTTCAAACAATTCAAACATTATTACCACGTCGTCAACCAAACTTATCACCGTAAACTATTTTCATTTTCTCTCATTAAATATTTATTTTTAATTTTATTATAGAATTGATATTGGTGTTGTTACACTTTATACACGACAAGTTAAAGAACTAGTCGAAAAATTATCAAGTATTAAAGTTCCAAAACGTGTTGAAATTCGAACAGTAGATGGATTTCAAGGACGAGAAAAAATATGATTCTTATTTCCTTAGTTCGATCAAATAATGAAAATGAAATAGGATTTTTAATTAATGAACAACATATGAATGTTCTTTTGACACGAGCAAAACGTGCAATGATTGTTTTTGGTAATAAACTTACTTTAATATCAAATAATTTATGGAAACATTGGATTGAAAGTATTCCAAATATTACTTCGGCACAATTTATAAATGAATATTTAATAAAACAAAATCAAATAACGGATCAATATCAATCTCAATCAACAAAACAAACAAAACAATACACTTATAATAAAAAATACAACAATTCTAGAAAAAGTTATCCTCCGTAAAATCTATAAACATGTTTTGTTTTAAACATTTTATTTAAGAACTTACTTATGTTTCTATCTATGTTGTTCAATCAAGATATATTTTTATTTCAGTTAATAATAAATATTATTTTGTAACTAACGGAAAAAAAATAAAAATAGGATTCCAAGAAAAAGTTTTTATTGAACTAGTATGCTGAGATCATGATCTAAACTGTGATGAAATTGTTATATATTGTTTTATATTTGGTAAAAGTTTAACACTAATCGAACTCATTTTGCTAGCTTGAAGGATTCGGCAAGGATATGGGTGTGGTAGTGTATGTGAGGCACCCACATCTCACATTCATACTCTTACTTTATTGGAATAAAATTCTTTGTACAAGTGTGAACGAAATTGGTTCACTGTATGACGACCTATCATCTCTTACTGCAAGAGTATAACAGTACATCAATCCAATGGACACCACCGCTATTGAAGCCAAGGATGCAGCAATGGTGAAACTAAAGGTGATAATTGGTGTGTTAGTACTGCTAGTTTCTCTTACCATTAAGACGTCTGAATAATGGAAAAAACTGGTCATCGCCATAGATTTCTCATGTGTTAACCGGCTAAACTGATCTTAATGGTGATTTTTGAAATTGAATCCCTAATAGTTCTAACAGACTTTTTTAATTTTCCAATCACCTTACGCTAGCAGATGTTAGGTATATGAAAAGACCAGTGTTTTCTATGCTCTGCATGCGCTTATTGCCTTAATCAAAAAACTTATCGTTGCGTGTCTAACAACTTTATCGGTTTTGACAAGTCACTGACGACGCGCAGCAGCTAGTGATACACTGATTCTAACTTTTTGACTTGAAATAGTCGAAATTGGTAGACATTGGAACTGGTGTGAGTATTCATTAAGAGGAGACCCACACCCTAGTTAGAATAATCCGTTCGTTAGTAAATAGTGCAGAGCCGACGACCCATAATATGGCAATCCAATCTGTATAAGCTAAATAACATACTCCAACTTCAGAATTAACATAGCACGATGGATACGAATCAAATGCGATTTGTCTTAATTTCTGACAGTCTTCTTTGCATTGTTTCAGAGGTAAAACCAGTGCTTTTTGTAGGCAATTCATTGTTGCGTAAATCCATGATCGTCCATTACTGCTAAACAAGGCCATATTTGTGAGAAACTTGTTACAAAATTTTGATCCATAACTAATCGCATATCCATTCGATCCACAAGGGACTTTTTTCCATACAGTTAGCATATAAAAGACAACTCTTCATTGGAGGATTGATGCAAACACTTTGACACATTGGATCTGCCCCGCAGTTAATACAGTCGTAACATTTTTCACATTTCTCGTCGCCAATTTTGTTGACAATCACGGAGGATTGGTATACAGCATCCCCCACATTGGCCACGCCCACGTCAATACGTATGAGTTCGGGTGTTCCGCTTACTGACAACGTAAGTGTAAAACAATCTGCCGCGCCAGATGCAGAATCAAATGCTTCAAGACCCAGTTCATTCATACTCTCAGATCTAGTCTCAAAGCTTCCACTTTCAGATCGAATAGTAATACTGAAATAATCATTGTATCTCGATCCGAAGTAACCACAAGGACCTTCTGCTGTCACAAATTTGTAGCGAACATAAATTTTAGTACTATTCGTTTCGGTTTTAAAATACCTTGAAGATACTTAAAATCCTTCATTCATCGTTGTGACTGTAAAGCTCGGAGGCTGTGAGTGTGGGTGGTCTCTTCTCAATAGCACCCACATCCACCCCAACTCTGACTATACAACGCGGAAAAGCTTCCCGACTGAAACAGGTACGAAGACTTGATGGCTCTAAGATTAGAAATTTCTTCATAGTTTTAACATAAAGAACCTTTAGATTTCAGAAATTATACTAATATAAACATTAAATTTAAAAAATATGAAACCTTAATGATATCACGACTCTGACTGACTTTATGATTTCGTTTCTAAGACACTCGAAGATTTTGGTTGATTTTATGACTTTGCATTTAAATACTTGCGAGCCTGAGATCGTGAGGACTATGACTGATTGTAAAACGCTGCATTTAAGTGACTTGAGGACATTGGAACTTCAAGACTATGGCTGAGATTCAAGACCCTGCCTTCAAGAAACTGAAAGACGTGAGGATCCCGAAACTATAGCTGACTTCAGCTCTGTTTGACTTCAACTAAGATGCGTGGAGAATTTCTTAAAATCAAATATGTCTTGAATTGCTTTGTCGGGTAGCAGTCGAAAAACTATACAGTTATTTCAAAAAGTATTCGGACACTTAAAACCACTTCCACCCTTCTTAAATAGTTATTTCGATCAATTTACATGCAAATTGCATGAATTTTTTCAAGATAAGTTGAAAACTGCAGTGGAGAGATTATGTTAAATTTTGTCGCTCAATGCAGTTACGTTTGGGGGAGACACTTACCAAGCAAGGTTCAAAAATAGTTCATTTTGTCTCGCAAAATTCTTTCTAAGCCTTGATTCTATATAATTCAATTTGTTTTGTTTCAAAAGGTTTCTCAGGATACAGAACATGACAGGCTCTTTTTCTTTCAATTCTTATTTTCTAGGGTAGAGAAAAGTAATGAGAAGCTCAATAACTCAAAAAAAAATTCAAGAAACGGGAGAATCTACCGTTTCCCAAGGCTTTTTCGAGCTTCTGGATTATTGAAGTTCTAGTCACTTTTCTCTGGGTTGAAAAGTAAGAATTTAAAGGAAAAGGTTATGTAATGCTGTAGATCTTGGCATCCTCTTTCAAACGAAAAAATAATCGAATATAGAACCAAGATTCACAGAGAATTTTAGGTTACCGGATCAGCGATTTTCGACCTTTGTCTGGTGAATAATTAGCTCTCTTAAAAGCAATGGTATTGGGCGAAAAATTTTAACATAATCTTTCCACTACAGTCCCAGCATAGCTTGAAAAATTCATTCCATTTACATGTACACTGACCAAAATAACTTTTCATGAAGGGTGGGAGTGGTCTTAAATGCTTGATTACTTCTAAGGCTGATTATAAATGGTTTTAGAAATCCCGGAAACCTCTACTGGCTCTGAGAAGCCTTGAGTGTTTTCAATCGCTTTTGACTGTTTCCAATAGGTTTCTGAGAGCTTGGAAATTCTTTCTCGGAAACCTATAAAGGGTTTCATATAGTGACAAACTTAGAAACCTTTCATAAGATTCCGAGAAAATGGACTTTTTTTTAGAGTGTATGAGTTTGAATGTCGCATCTGTTGTCGGATACACATACAATTCTACCAGTATTCATCTGTTCTTCTCTTCCATCTCCCTCTTGGTTTTTTTTATTGATACTTGTAGATAAGAAGACTACATCGGCTGGCCACTTCATCCATCATATACATGTTATTACCTTGTCGTCCCACCACGATTGAGGAAAACAGAGAGAGTGGAAGAAAAGTAAAAGATCGAAATACACGTTTGTGTTTGTGTCTGGTGTAACTATGATTCATTGAGGTAATTTTTTATGACTATACTGTGTCGTTATTAAAATGTTAGACAATCGAAACAGCAACAAATAATTTTCCAGTCTAAATTTAATTCAATGAGTTTTCTCAATCGACATCAAAGAACGAACTTGGATAATCTGCTGATTTTTCATTTGTGTACCAGTTCTTTCGTGTGCAATCGGTATAGATTATTCGCTTTGGTTACTTTTTGTATTTATATAGTATTCATTATCGTGGCATACTTGGTTCTATTCAATCCCTTACTCAGCACGTTATTAACGCCTGTCAAGCGTCCACATGATCGAAACTTCGTCTTCAAATCCAATGATCGTGTATCACTACTATTAGCTAAGGCGAACCATCGTGATTTCATACTAGTAACAGCTGCTTCAGGACGGTTTGTCGATAGATTAGAACATCTCATTGGATCGATACATTATCATGAACCTTACTTGTCGATTATTATTTTTGATTTCGGTATGACTGATTCACAACTCTCTCGGATATCATGCATGGTGAACACTCAAATCGAAATTTTCCCATTCGAGATCTATCCATCCCATGTGACAAATCTGCAATTATATGCTTATAAAGCACTTATATTGAAAGAGGCACTTGAAAAGTATGGATCAAAGACGAGAGCTATTTTCTATCTCGATGTCGGTACAGAGTTGCGTTCATCGCTCGATCCAATCATTGAAGCAATCGAAATACATGGCTATTTTCTCACACGACAAAAAACATTGATAACTGATCATACGAATGAGCAAACGTTTGTAGCATTGAACGTGAGCAAGAGGGATTTCAATAAGGGAAGTCTCGATCAAACAGCAGGATGCATTTTGGGTTTATCAACAAATCACTCTAGTTTTTACAATGATATTCTAATACCATGTGTAACGTGTTTCCTGAGAATCGATTCCATAGCGCCATTCACTTCAATCTCATCGACCACACATCGTTTTGATCAATCTGTTCTACCAATTTTAGTGTACAAAGCTGGCTACGAAGTATAAAATGCAGAACAATTCTATGGTGATTTTGGATCTGCACGCGAACTCGATGCAAGTATGGTGATATTTTCTCGTCGTTGGCATTGCCCCAAAGTGTACGCATCCGAAATTATATTTCGACACATATGTCATTATTCGCCAATATTACGCTCCCATCATCGCATTAGAAATGTCAATGAACGAGCTGATGTGTACGCTTGTGGAAAATTGACCCTTATCGAACTCGGTTCATTCTAGATAGAGCTATCTGTATATCAAGTGTACGGGCTTATCTTTATTACTTATGTTGTTATGATGAGCTGTCTTTATTGTTCGATTCTTTATACGTTGAGTATTTTGATGCCAGTTGCAAAGATAAAACAAAGAAGAGCGTAGATGTACTTGGTTGGGGCTCTGCGTGGTCCATCGTTACGGAGTGTCATTTTATTTGTCTTCCATGATTTGTATCTCTGTAAAAACAAAAGCAAATGCTCTGGAAAAATTTGATACAGTAGCATT